CGTCACCGTCTCTCTATCTCGACCACAACTGCGAAAGGGATGACTTCCCAACAAAGGCTGTTCTTGATTTGAAACACCACACGGGTGAGGTTTGGTACTTGCAGTACTCAAACGACGGCACGAAACTTGCATCTGCAGGCGAGGATCAGACAATCCTCATCTACGAAACCAACACATACAAGGTGTTACATCGACTCGCAGAACACAGGAAATCTGGCGTCGCTCATCTTGCTTGGAGTCCTGACGACACAAAGATCATAACATGTTGCTCGCAACCAGAGAACTCGGCACGGATATGGGACGTCAAGGTAAGGCGGCAAGATTGCTCTGATAGCTTCGACTAAAACTAGCAGACCGGTGTATGCATACAATGTATCAGCGACTTCACTTACCCATGTACCACCGCGGCTTGGGATCCGTCCGGAACACGGATTATTCTCGGATCGCAGGACGACAACATGGGCTGTAGTATCTGGGACCTCGATGGGAACCTCAAGCACAACTTCGCTGATGATGGGAAGCTCCGTGTAAACGGACTCGCACTGTCATCCGATGGCCAGCGATTAGTCGTCATTACAGAGAGCACGATCGTCGTGTTTGATTATTCCACTTATGAGAGGATTGCCGAGTTTCAGCTTGATGGTACAAAGTTGACGAGTGTTACGATCAGCCAGGATTCGCGGCATATGCTCGTTAGCATAAGCCCTGATCAAATCAAGCTCATGGAAATCGACACTGGGGATGTGATACAACGCTTCGAGGCACATGCTCAGAAGCAATTCATGATTCGATCAGCGTTTGGCGGCGCCGATGAGAACTTTGTAGTCAGCGGCAGCGAGGGTATGTTTGTTTTGTACCTCCATGCAGGATCATCTGCTAATACACGCTTTTAGATTCACGGATATACATATGGCGGTCCAATGGCCTCCTTATCGAAGCTCTCGACGCACACTCTAACGGCTGCGCCAATAGCGTAGCCTGGCACCCCAAGGATCCTACTACGTTCGCTTCTGGTGGCGATGACAAACGAATCAGGATCTGGAAACCAGCTTCAGCGTCACCAATGCCATCGAGCAGTAGTAACGGTTATGCAAGGTAGATTGGGCCGCCCACCTGGTGTAGTTTGCATGTAAGGTTTCACGTGTGGTTTGCGTGTGATGGCTTGTATGATGGGTAGCTTTGTGTTCTCTTGCATTAAATTTGGCGTCAGAGGCCCATCTGAGGACGGACAGCATGGCTTATTCTTGGGTATGTGGGCTTTCGTTAGCATTCACCGGGTAACACATACTCCCCCTTCGGTATCATGTACCCTGTTATCTATTAGACGCTATCTATATGGGACGGATTATCTGTTCCTACTGAACCATTTGCTATAGATACAAGTCTATCCGCAGTTACCCAACTTCTCACCTCCTCCGTTACGTGCCTATTTCCCTCGTCACGACTACAGCCTCCCTCTCCTTACGATACTTCGCCCACTTCATCCCTATCAGCGTGGCATCCACCGTGTCATCTGGCTTACGCTGCCATATCCAAGAATCCCCGTTCCCACCTTGTCGTCTCGCAACCCTCTTTTCACCCACCCATAACTCCTCCAGTGCTTCCACCTCACCGAATGCTAACCTCGCAACGTTGTTTTCCGCTGCGACTCTCCTCCTTTCGTTGCCTTTCCATAACGCCAGTCTTGCTTGTTCCGTCTTACATTCCATGACCGCCCGTTTCCACACCGCTCGATAGCCCATATCAAGATATTCGATCTTGCTGACTTGCATCGTCTTGAGTTGTTTCAAGCCCTGACCCAGAGCACACATGATAGACGCGACATCGGATCGATAGCAGTACGACTCGCTGCGCAAGACCAGATGACGTATATATGGAAACGTCGTCGTAAGAAAGGTAACTTCGGCCAGAGACCATGCAGCACTTCCATCAAAACTCCGCAGTCCCACGGCATACTCGAAATACGGATCGGTTTCTTTCCTTCTCAGACTAGACCGCGGAATGATTTCGAACAAATCCTTCAGCTCGGCATACTTCTCCATTGCACAATCCTCACCATCGCCCTTCCCCTTCACCACCAACGTCTGCAGATTGGGACAATGCTGCACCAGAAACGCGGCACTGCTATTCACAACCAACGTCTCCACTCCCCTCAACTCAAACCCAGGGGACCGGGATGAAAGTGAAGAGTCGGTGAACGCAGCGGAGAAGACATCCAGACTCCGACTCATCATCCTCACTTCTAGTCGCTTTAGCTGTGGTAACGAATGCATAAAGGTAAACAGGTCGAGAGCGTCGCTACTGGATACGTAAGCACCGGAGCACCACCACCATAGACTGCCAAACATGTCGATTTTGAGCGCGCGAGCTTGGTGCAGATGTGGTGTCAAGACGTCTGTGTCTAGCGCTTTGAGTGGCGCGGTGATGCGTAGGGTTTTAAACAGGCGCGGAACAAGGAGGGTGTGGAAACGGCGATTTGCTAGGGAGAGTTGTTTCCATGGAGTCTCGCCGTGTTGCTGGTGATGGTCGTCCAAGAAGTCGCATATGAGTAGTAAGACGTCATCGCATAGGTCGGGGAGAGTGAGTGACTTGTGTAGTGATGGGAGGAGTGTTGGGTCAATGAAGCTGTCGACTCGCGTCTCTCTTGTTTTGGGTGTCATCGTGTTGTTCTGGTCTCAAGTTTGGAGAAGGTCGTGGTCTTGATGTCTACTTCATGATGTTTGATACCGTCAACGAGAGCGGAGATGGAGGTGAGCTAAGCAGCTACCCCACGTTTTAATGCACACTTGTTACTTGAAAAGGCTAGTTGAGTTGAAGCTCCTAGATTGTCCAATCCGAAAGAGGTAGCCACGATAGACCATCAGAGGCTGCAAGTAGGCTTGAATTGATCTACACTATTGCATCGAGCTATTTAATTGTCGTTAGTCATTATCATAATACGTTATTCATGTTCATCGTTGTGTCTTTCAGAGCAAGATTCCTACGCAAAGCACAAGCATACCCCACTCTGCTTTTCGTACACTTTCAGCTTCTCCTTGGGTATCTGCGATATGTAACAAACTATTTCAAGAGGAGTATTCAACGCTTTGGAGATGCGAACTAATCCGACTCTCAAATGACGCGCACTGTTGCTTTACCTTTCCCAAGGGTTTGGGACGACGATATCAGCATGCTTCTGAGACGGTCCTCGGCTTTTGTCAGCTCCTGCCGACTATTCTGGTCGAGATCTGACGGCCGGGGCCATGGTAGCCACGCCTTTATAGAGTCAAGAGTGCCGGAACGTGCTCGTGATGCCGGTAGACTGCGCATAGACGCTCCGCGTTGGTGTGAAGGGGTTCTGCGTGGTGTTGCAGTCAGAGGCCGTCCGTTCGATGATCCATTGGCGTCCTTGCCAACGTCCTGCATTGCCGACGATGTATCGAGTGATAGTTGTTTCGAAGCCGTAGGTGCGGCAATGGTGATTGCTGGATGTGAAGACGAGGTGGATGCATGGACTGCCCAAGCGGGCCCCGAATTTGAGGCTTCGACCTGTTTCGAGCTGCCAGCCTCTTGGTCTCGGAAAGTATCGCCATCTATGGCTTTCCTCTTACCACTCCCACCACTGATGACGCTCTTCAAGCTTCCGTATGCTGATTGACTACGCTTCTTACTGCTCTCGGCCCTACCCTCTTGCGCCAGCCGCTCGCTAGAGCTGCTCGCTTCAGGCACTGCCATGAGTGTGTTGTCTGCGGCAGTCCATCCTTGACTGATCCTGTTCAAACGACCTCGGCTGGCCAATGCTCCTGTACTTGCGGCCCATCCCGAGCCCCCGCTTGTTATTTCGCCTTGTGGGGGTAGGTGAGAGTCGTACTCGTCGGCTAGACTCATTCTGCTTCGGGCGCAGATCTCGGCAATGGCATCGATGGCGTCTCTGATCTCAGGGTCAACCGCGCGAAGGATAGCCGAAAAAGAGAAGTCGTCAGCGGAGGGTAGTTGCTCGCTCCTGCCTGCCAGACCGGCTGACAGGGCCGACGCATGTGTCTGCCCGTTCATGGCGAAGGAGCGTGGCGTGTTGAAGCCGGAGCCAGAGCGCGATGCGTGCCGCGAGCCTGAGTATGTGCGTACTACCACGGGCTGGCTGGTGACGGTGGTCCGACTCGATGTAGACTTGGCAGACTTGCTCTTGGAGGGCGAGGAATGGAAGGCGGGGGCGTTCAGGGCGCGCAGGGCAGCAGACTGGGTGGGCGGCAGTGTGTTGGTCAGGGTAGTAGTCGCACTGGGCACCGAGCCTGAGCTCGCCGTCAAGTCAGACAGGCCCTCGGGAGCATCTAGTGGTTGCGTGTGGGCGAGGACGGGCTCGTCGGACAGTATAGGCTGGGCACTAAGCGTGGACGTGGTGTTGTTCCCCAAGAGAGTCGAGAAGACGCCCAATGGCACCGACTGTCTGGTGGTCGTTGCAGGCGTTGCAGGCGTCAGTGGGTGTGGGATTGCACTCGACTCGGCGGTACCTGAGCCATGTTGCTCACAGTCGGTCGGAGGGGCAGCGCTGTGCGGGAGCCGTGGCGCCTGGAAGGGAACGCGCGGATCATTAGACATGCCGGCCATTGTTGTGGGTTCTGGTTCCGTAGCTGCAGGTCAATGCATTGCCGCTATGCGACGCCGTCTGAGTTGTTGGATGAGCTGCCGTGATCGAGAAGATGCGCTGGCGCCAAGCTTGGCGGGTTATTTCGTCCCACCCGCCTTCCATCATTGGGCCATTGCCGCTTCACCCTACACAAATTCTGTCATATCGAACGAGTTGCATGCCACTTGGGATGCGATGCCCAATTGCAAACATGCAAGACTTGGAATATTCTTGTTGCGCCTAAGAGGCGTCTCACTGGCTTGACACCCTAAAATATTTCCGACCTCAACCTCGCCATCCCTGCCGCTCGATATCTGTCTGTCTTGCACGACTACATGGTAACACATGTGGACCCTGCGCATGGAAGCGCATCTGCCTCTCAGGGGTACTCCAGATCTCAAAAGAGCATCCCGTCGTCTGGCCTTTCGCCATCTATCCGCTGCCCGCCCACCACCTCCGTTGCCTGCCCGAGCCTGTCGCTCAACCAAGACACCACTCCACCTGGCATTTCGTCAAGTATTTGCATCTCAGCTTTGACATTGAGCATCAGCATCTTCTGTAGCTCCTGCCTCCAGCCCTTTTCGAGGCCCTCCTCTGCGCACAGGTTCCACTCTAGCATTCGCGCTGCTTTGTTGCGGTCGCGCGCTGTCAGTCTCATCAGACCTTGGAGCTGAGGCTTCGTGCCTGTCTCTGGGTGCACTTCGTCTAGCGGAGCCCCACTCATGTGGTGACTCTTTACACCAAGCCAGCGAATGTTAGGCAAGCCTGGTGTGGCTGTATCCGTGGATGTAACGTCTTCGTGCGCGAGACGATACGACCCATATTTGTACGTCGATAGTATGGCGATACCGTCGGGATCAAGGTCCATCAGAGCATACATGGGGATGTGAGGGGCCTTAGCAGCTAACTGACTCAGAAGCTTCCGTGAAGCAAGGTCTGGATATCCTTTCGCCTGTCTTGATGATTAGGTGACATTGGCAACAGAAACAGTCAGGCTTACAGTCAGTATTGTTCCGCTCGAGCCCAACGTGTGCCACCGTGGTGAACTCATCAATGACCTAAAGGTCGCCTAAGCATGCATTAGCGTTAGTATAAGTAATCCTGGAGCACCAACTATACCTCTTTTTCGATAATGAGCACCCATTGCACGTCCGTTAAGTCGAGGGTGTCGTTATCATTGACACTGGGAACGAGTATCCCCTAGTGATGTGTTAGGAAGGTATCCCTGAGCCAGCACGCTCGTCAAACCTCTTTCTCACTTATGCCGTCGATATGATGGCCGTCGTTTCGAGTTAACCTAAAGCTGCCCGCCAGTAGGCCTTTCGCAGCGGCAGTCTGAAATTGGCTATCAGCTGTGCTTCCAGAAACATGCCTGAGACAAGCGCACCACATTCAATTGGGATCTAGTGATGCCAAAGGTACAAGCCAAATCATCCACGTATCGGTCGACTATCGACTGCTTGATGAACAAGTCCGGATGTCGATAATACATGTCTCTATCTCAAATCAGTTTCTTGTTGTCCTCATACAGGGATAAAGTTGACCTTTTCGTCATGACGGTACCATCGACGAGACCAGCGTGAATAAGCTCTAGTATACGAACTAGTACAGCTATACGGCCATTAACGTTCTCAGTATGTATACATGATTGGGTTCACACACTGAAGTTCCATGCCTCTTGCGCACTTGCTCCTGGAAAATTGATATCGCGTTCTCTCGGTTCGGGAGCTTGTCCTTGACCGTCGGCTGTGGCAGATTGTCGGCGAGACAGAGTTGCACGGGACTTCAGCGTGATAGTGAGCGATTCGAGATCCTCTAGCTGAGCATTCACAATCAACTCTATCATCGCTTCGATGCGAGCGATCACCCAATGTCTGCACAGAATTAGTCATAACACGCTCAGAGTGAGAGTACCTGGAGAACCTGTCGCGTATGGGTCTTAGAGTGTGCTCCTGACGCTGATACTGAGGTGTTTCCTGGATAGACAGTGCGTTGCCATTGGCCAAGGAAGCTGAGTTTGAGTTGTTGCACACATCCCACGGTATATTTTCTCGTTGGGAAGTTGCGAACAGGAACTCATCTTCTAAATCCTCCTCCTCCGTATCCTCAGGAGCGTCCTGCACGTCGTGTTCACCAAACAACATGTCATCGAAATCGCTTGTATCCATGGCGAAGCGCAGAGTGGCGAATGATGGTATGCAATTTCGCGGATACCGGGTTAGCTGCTAGCAGGTATGTGACCGATTACTGTGAGGTCGATAGAGCAAGAGGCCCGTAGAGAGCGCCGCAGACAAGAAGCCAGTCACAGAAAGCGCGGCCGCGCGTGAGTACTGCGAAATGGCAGGCACGACACGTGCAGGATACACCAAGAAAGGCAGTTCTATTCGCGCGCTTATCACTAAGCTTCGCCATAAGAATCGCTTCGAATCTGTTTGGTTCACGTCTTGCACAAGTAAAATAGTGGTGCTCGACGTGTTGATGTTCGCGTTCGTTTGGCCGTAACGCTAAAAGGAAATCAGAGCATGAAATCGCTAAAGTATACGCCATTCGAGCGATTGCACCCCAGTCGCACTTTCCCGCACTAGGCCCACATTAGCCCACTAGTCGTTCGCGGTTTCCACGCGCTGCGCGTCGCGCCTTCGACCTTCGCGTCTCCTCCCGCGTCAACGTCCGCTACCGCTACCACGCTGCTTGTTCGACCACAACAATCTTCTCAGAATTGAGCATCGGGTCCCTCACTATCGACTTTTCATAGACCTACAAAGCCTATCGGCTGCACTTTCAGCAACCGCCGTGCACTATGGAGGACCCCACACCCATTGCGCCGCTGCCCCAGAAGCGTCCACACACCGACGACGACGATGTCGAGCCTACCGTCTCAACTCCGTCAAAACAGACTCGATCAGAGGCCTCTACGCCCCTTTCAGTTCTCTCTGTTCAAACCCCGTCACCCCTGAAGAGCAGCGCTCCGAGTTCAACCGCCCCAAACAGCAGCAACGTCTCTGCTCCCACCCCCTCACAACCAGGCAAAAGGCGGAAGTTGACATTACAAGAGAAAGAAGCCCAGCGTCTAGAAAAGGAAGCGAAGGCCAAAGCGCGAGAAGAGAAGAAGGCGCAGAAAGAGGCTGAGGAGAAGGTCAAGGCAGAACAAAAGGCACAGAGAGAGGAGGAGAAGCGCAAGAAGAATGAGGAACGAGATGAGAAGAAGCGCCTCAAGGAGGAGGAACAGCAGCGGGCAGAAGAGGAGAAGGCAAAGAAGGCACGGGTAAGCCGACCCTCGTCCTTGGAGTACGACCTGAACAGTGCTAACCTTTGGATAGTCCCAAATGAAGCTGAACGCTTTCTTCGTCAAGCCAAAGGCGGGATCAAGCCCAGGACAGGCCGTGGTAGCTTCATCCCAGAACCCTACTGCCTCGTCCACATCCTTATCTAGCACATCCGGAGTCAAAACTAATTTGGCCCCTCCATCCCCACAGAAAAACATCGTCAAGAACGCTCAGTCAGACTACGAGCGATACTTTCTACCGTTCAATCTCCCACCACATACGATCCTCGCTCCCATAAATCCCCTGCTCGACGATCCGGAGCGGCTGGAGGCTGCGCGAACACGGCTAGAGAACCTCATCGCGCACAACGGTACCGGTACCGAGACCATCACACGAGAGACCTTGGTATCTTCTTTACCACGACGGAGTCGATCAGCGCATCGGACTGCGACCATCGCCGAAGTTATCGAACGTGTGAATGGCTCGTCGGATCGTCCAATCGACTTGACTGTCCACAGAAGCCCATTGGAAATGCTTAGAGAGATCCCAATGAAGTACATACATTTCTGCAAAGATGTCCGTCCCCCGTACTATGGCACCTACACCAGGCCTTATACCGACGCGGAAGCTTCTCGGCTCGCACGAAACCCCATTGCCAGGGTCCGAAAGGACACCGATTATGACTACGACTCTGAAGCGGAGTGGGATGAACCCGAGGAAGGAGAAGACCTTGACTCTGACGGCGAAGATGACAACGAAGAAGATGCAGAAGACGACTTGGATGGTTTCCTCGACGACGAAGAAGACCCACAACTCAAACGGCGACTCATTAGTGGTGATTTAGTTCCTGTCAGCACTGGCTTATGCTGGGAGGATGCCGATAGGGTTTCCAGGTTGAACGATGGTTCAGATGCTATATGCACCGACTTCAAAGGGTTCTCAATGGGGTTTCTGTTGGACCCGCAGATGACTTCGATCGATCCTTTTTCTACGGCATACTGGGAACCGGATCCTGCGACTGTTGCAAGTACCGGCGCTGCTGCGAAGAAAGACAACCTTGCTAAGAGCGCCATGAACCCTCCGCGGGTACCTCTGGTTCAACGCTCTATGAATGGTCTGCTCAACACATTGAACGGCCCACAGAAGTCAACAGGAGGAACTCCAACTAAGCCAGCAAAAGCTAAGCGATTGGTGCCTACCGAGCAACTTGCAGCTTTCAAGGCTGAAATTGAGGGCAAAGATCTGACCAAGATTGGCATGATTGAGGCGCTGAAAAAGGTATTCCCAAAGCTACCGAAGGACGCCATCAGCAACACCTTGAGCGTAGTTGCCGCAAGGGTAGGACCTACCGAGAAAGAGAAGCGATGGGTGCTTGTCAACACCTGAGAGTTTCAATGCTCATTGTTGCGTTCTGCTGGACGTTTCCCTTTTTGCTCTTAATGTACATCAAGCTTTCATACATGTCGGTAAGATTCGACGCCAATTACCTGTGGAATACGTGGGATAGTCTTTTAGCATAGCGGGTGAAGGAGTACGGGGTTCAGGCTGGGTTTGAAGGTGTTCCAAAGTCATCATCAAGCGACATTTTAGCTTCCAAAGTCAATCCACGTTCACACGCTGTGTGATAGGTGGGGAATTGAGCTTATTCCAGGAGCTATAGAAAGTCGTAGAACTCACGCAATGAAGAAAGTGTCCACGCTGCAGTGGATCTCATGTACTATATGGCTGTGACCCAGTGACTACAGCATTAGTGCGATGCATGAAGTCCACTGTGAACAGAGTCAACATGCTTGCACCGAGCAGTGCCGCGAATGAGAGGGGCACATAAATTCACTGCGTGTTCCACATGGCGTAGGCATCGTAAGAGTGCAAGCGCTTTGTTTTAACCCCTTCGTCCCTAGCAATGCAGCCCTGACACACACTGCGCAGCCGTCAAAGGGTCATGCTATTGCGCGAGCATAAGTTGCAGAGCAATCAGGACTTCTGTCCCTTCTGGATCTAAAAACGAATTGAAATCAATGCACAGTCTTCCAAGTATACCTTATGTTGGCACGCAACCACTTTGTACACAAACATTACCCCGTGAGCAACAACGAGAACGGCGTGCGGGGATGCGGGATTAAGGTTGTACGGCTATTTCCGAGTGTTTCCTCCAAACGTATCAAAATCTCACCGAGCGGGTACGCAATCTACATGCCTTTGAGATTGCAGACTGTGGTGAGCCGGAGTTTAAGAATAGCGACTGCCCTGGTGGTGTCAGATCCACACCTGCAGTCGGGTCCGTGCAGCGGGCGCTTGGGAATGTCGCGAGACAACCCTACCCAATCGGCCTGGTCTCGTAAACGCCCGCTATCTTTGGTACAATGACGACCCAATCATCAGTGTCTCTGCGACGGCAAAGCTTACCATCGGAGAGGGATCATCTTTCTTCCTTGCGCATCTTTCTATTCCAAGCGCCCATGGGGTGCACCTCCCTAGGTCGTGGTAATTCCACAACGGCATCAGCAGGCGCTCTCGGCAGCGGTCCAGTCCCATGCGGCTCTAGATGGTGCCCAGGAATGCACTCATGCGCGACCAGCAGAAGCACTGTGGATATTCCCGCACGCAAGAATAGCTGGGCCCTTGCCTGACTGGCTGACTGTCCGCATGCTCATCTTAGTGTATCAAGGTACAGATGATGGAGGCCTACAAAGACATCCTACAGCCTCTGGCACCTCCGCAAGTCGAGTTTGAGACGTTTCGTCATCGTCGTCGTTCACCCTGCCTGTTGGTGTTGTAAGCGTTATCCAACACCTTGTTACCCGCTTTTCAGCTTGCTGGACTCAAGCGTCTCTCATCTTCCATCATGGCGTCTTTCGTTCTGTGCCTTTCCGCAACT